TCCCCTCAAAGCAGCGCCTCCCCGCCGCGCCGCGGCGTCTCCACGGAGCGCCGCGGTGCCTCCCCCGCGGGGAGGCGCGGCGTTTCCCCCTCGGGGCGGCGGGGCGCCTCCCAGGGGAGGCGGAGGCGGAGGGCTGTGCCGCGGGCCGGCTGCGCCGTGGCGGTGCTCGAGGATTCCTCGGCCGCTTCCTCGTCGGCCTCCTCGGCCCTCTTCCTCCCTCGGCCTCCTCCTCCTCCTCCGCCTCCTCTTCTTCTTCCTCCTCCATTTCCTCCCTCGCCGTAGCCATCTGGCTCACAATGTTCAGCTGGGGGGCCTGCAAGCCTTCAGGCCAGAAGGATACCGTTAGCCCGCGGCTAGTTTCCAATTTTTCGGTGAGTTCCTGGGGGAACGCCTTCCGCTCAATCGTACGGATTATTGCGGCAGCGCTCACGTACTCGACAGCATGCCTGGAAGTTGGCAGCATCCATGGTCGGCGTGCGGCGGTGCCAGGCGCAAACACAGCACGGGCGGCAGCGAACGCGACAAACCCGATTGGTTTTGCTGCACAGACTGCAAGAACGAAAGGGCGGGAAACCGTTGGTGGAACCCAGGCACCTCCGAAACGTGTAATTACGAAGTGCAAGCTCCACAAAAGCGTCTCGTCCAGCGGACATCGGCGCAGCGGAGGCCTTTCTCGGAGGTCTTCAAGCGTGGTCGAGGGCCGTGCGAAGGACAAGCAGCTGCAGGATAAGTCCCTTGCAGAGGAGAACAACATGCTGAAAGCCAGGCTCGAGGAGCCCGAGGCCAAGGCCAGGGAAGGGGAGATGGACGTCGATAACTCCTCGGCCGAGTCGGGAACCACCGTCGGGGCCGCGGGGCGCAAGCGCGCCGACTTGGCTGGCCAACGAGATCGAGGTGCTGAAAACACGCGCTGGTGGCGCGACCGAGTACGACGCCACGATCGACTCTTTTCATTCCGAGCTCGACGTGCTGCGGAAGAAGACCCATGACGCGAAACCCATGGACACCAAGGTGCATATCGCCAGGCGGGACGTCAAGGGCAAGGAGGCCGTCGTGTCGAAGCAGACCGAGAAGGTGGCGGAGTTGCAGTCCATGGTCGCCGAGGCCGAGCAGGCGTTGGAGGACGCGGCAGAGCGAGCAGGAGCTGGTGCTGGCAGTGAAGTGGTTCGCCAAGCTCATCCGCAGTTCACCGTCAACACGACCGCGGTGGTGGCCAAGTGCGGCGAGCGCGGGATGGACCAGGCCCAGGCTCAGCTGCATGGTCTCCAAGCTCCTGGAGGACTTCCCGCCGCAGTTGCCGGTGGCGCCCTCCGCCCAGGCCGGGCCGGCTGGCGGCCAGGGCGCCGCGGGCGGCAGTCTGCCAACGACGTGGGCAACTCCCGCCGGCCCGACCCCGTGGCGGCCGCCTTTGGGGCGCAGCTCCGCGAGGCGCTCGAGCAGGTGCGGCCTCTTGAGTTCACCCAGGCGTTGCGGGCGGACCTGGGGGGCTCGCGCGCCGCTGTTTGCGCCGTGCTCAGTGCCCAGTCCTCGCGGCCGCTGCTGGGGCAAGCGGAGCTGGCAGGCATTGCTGAGCGGCGCGGCATCGTGGCGACCCCCATCGGCGTCGTCGCGGGCGCCGACGTGGGCGCGCACGCCGTCGCTCCCCGCGAAGTGCCTTCAGCCGAGGCGCGATGCGAGGCGGCCCCCATCGACCTCGGCTCCACCAGGGGCGGCGAGCTCGACCTCTTCGACTGCGTCCAGCTGGACGGCGACGCGTCGGGGACCGTGCAATTCGGGCTGAAGCGGCGGCCAGGTGCGGAGGTTTTCATCCCCTCGGTTGGCGCTCGGCCTGGGCGCCACCTAGGTAAGGCCAAGCCTGGCAAGGCCGATTCCCTGGACAGCGAACGCGCGATGAGCTGCGAGCTGATGGTCCTGGACTGGGTCATGGCGCCGCTGGCCAAGCAGATGCAGCAGCGGTCAAGCGCAGAGGGCGCCATCACCTCGGCGGGCGTTCGGCGCCGCCCAGGCGCGGACAGGCCCTGCAGCGCCGACCCCTTGGACCTCGAGTGCGAGATGCGTGACGAGATGGGAGTCAAGGCCCGGGTCAAGGCGCCGCTGGGCAAGCAGATAACCGCCTCCGACGGCGTCGTCGCGGGCGACGACGCCGGCGCTCCCGCCGTCGCCCCCTGCGGAGTGTCCGTAGTCGAGGCGCGAGGCGCGGCAGCTCTTATCGGCATCGGTCCCGCCGTGGACTGCGCGCTCGACCCCGTCGAATGAATCGGGCTGGACAGCGGCGAGTCTGGGGCAGTGCCCTTCGGGCAGCAGCAGCAGCGGTCAGGTGCCGAGGGCTTCGCCCCCTCGGCTGGCGCTCGTTTTTGGCGCCGCCCAGGCGCGGCCGAGCCCGGCAGCGGCGCCCCCCTGGGCCGCTTGTGCGAGTTGCGCGCCGAACTGGTGAAGACAGATCGGGGCGCGACGCCGCTGTTCAAGCAGAGGCCCGCCGCCGTCGTGGGCGTGATCGTTGAGATGACTGCGGAGTTCATCGCGCGCCTGGAGAGGATCGGCCAGCTGGCAGCGGGGGGCGCGGGGCAGGCGCGGCTGCGCGTCGTCGACGCCAGCCGCAGTGAGCCCTTCCTCGCCACCGATAGCGATGGGCCACTGGACACCGGGGTTGCCTCGGCCGAGGAGAGCCAGTGCGTCGGGGGCTTGATCGCGCCGCTGCCGATCCAACCTGCCGCGCTGGAGACCCGCGGAGCGGAGCGTCTCGTTTGCGCTGGCAGGCGAACGGGCGTTGCCCAATGCCTGGGCCGCTTGGCCAAATTGCCGGCGGCAGAGAGCCCCGACCCCTCGGGGCGCGCGCCGCTCGCCGCGGGTCGCAGGGCCGAGGCGAAGGAGACCGTCGGCGGGCGAGGCGAGCATAGCGCCCGACGAGCGGCGATTCGGTCGGGCAGGGGGGCGGGGGGCGGCTCGGCGAACACCTCAGGGCCCTGCCCCCGAGCCAGGGGCAGCCAGTCGACCGCCTCAGCGGAGGGGCGCTGCGAAGGGCGCGGGCAGAGACAGCGGCCCACGCGCGCGCGCTGGCCATCGCGGCGAATGGCACCACGTGGGCGAGCCCGCCGGACCACCCGCTGGGCTCGATCGCCCACCAGGCCGACCTCGTCCTGGGGAAGGAGACCCACGTGGCGGGCAGCGCGGCCTGCGCCGCCGCGGAGGGCCAGGCCGAGCGGGCCCAGTGACCCCGTAGTCCCCGCCGGGAAAGGAGGCGCCAGCGGGGGCCCCAGCGCGGCAGCGCAGCCATGGAGAGGGCTCGCGCGACGCCAGCGCACTGGCCCCAGGTTCGCGTTCGCCAAGGACAGCCTGCAGCTCGGATGCTGGAGATGATGACGGCTGCCGGGGGGGGGGGGGGGGGGCGTCGCCGACAGCGTCTGCGGGCGCCATTGCGAGGGCATGGCCGCGAGGAACAGGCTTCTCATCAACATTCTCGCGCGCGACCTGAGGGGGCTGGAGCGCCTATTCCTCGTCTGCGGCGACTGCGACGCGCGCCCGACAGAGCTGGCGTAGTCGGGGGTCCTCGCGGCGCTGGAGACAGGGCTCGTCTTCCCCAAGGAGGGGGCCTGCGGCGAACTGGTGGGCGGAGCCCGGCTCGATTGCTGGGCGTTTCCGAAGGTCCTCGCGCCGAAGGTGCAGAGCTGCTGCGCCGCCCGTGGGCCTCGAACTCGCGAACGGCCCCGTCGACAGCGCGAACGCGGCCCACTGTGCCCCGAGGGGCTTCACCGCCGAGCGGCCGAGCGGGCCTGGGAGGGGGGCCCGCGCGAGCTGGCCAGAGACGCGCGCCGCCCTGCGCGACGCAGAGGTCAACGAGGGCGCGCTAGCTCGAGGCTTCGGCGACTTCGGGCAAGGCGCCGAGGAGGAACTGGCCCGCGCGCTCCGCATCGATCCGCGGGGCGCGCAGATGTGCGCGGGGCGCGGGGGCGAGCCGAAGTTCATCGAGGTCAGCCCGCTCGGGAAGAACAGCGCGGCAGATGCCGAGGCCCCCCCTGGGGTGAGGCAGGCGCTCTGGCCCAACAACAGCTTGCGCCGACTGCAGATGGCCGTTCTGGGCGGGGCGGGGGGCCGCCGCAAGGCGGCGAACAAGGAAAGCGCGCCAGTGGATCTTTCGAATGCACTGGGGGGGGGGGGGTCCCGAACCCCCCCCCTCCCTTCCTTGAAGGGGGGGATGGGGGGGGGGGGGGGTAGGGCCCGCTCCCCCTCTCTCCCTTGGCGGTGTGTGTGTTGTGTGTCTCTGTGTTGTGTGTGTGTGGTCTGTGTGTGTGTGTGTGTGCGTGTGCGTGTGTGTGTGTGTGTGTGTGTGTGTGTGTGTGTGTGTGTGTGTGTGTGTGTTGTGTGCGTGTGTGTGTGTGTGTGTGGTGTGTGGTGTGGTGCGTGTGTGTGTGTGGTGTGTGTGTGTGGGGGGGGGGGGGGCCTCTCGTGTAGGGAGTGCGGAGTTGGGAGTAGGGAGTGGTGAGTAGTGAGTAGTGAGTGAGTGCGTAGTGAGTAGTGAGAATTGGGTAGTGAGTGGTGGGTAGTGAGTGGCGAGTAGGGAGTAGGGAGTAGGGAGTGGGGAGTAGTGAGAGTGAGTAGTGAATAGTGAGTAGTGTGTACTGATAAGTGAGTAGTGAGTGGCGAGTAGTGAGTAGTGGGTAGTGAGTAGCGAGTAGCGAGTAGTGAGTACTGAGTAGGGAGTAGGGAGTACTGAGTAGTTGGTAGTGAGTAGTGGGTAGTGTTTAGTGGGTGGCGAGTAGTGATTAGTGAGTAGTGAGTAGTGGGTAGTACGTAGTGCGTAGTGAGGAGTGAGTAGTGAGTAGTGAGTAGGGAGTAGTGAGTAGTGAGTAGTGAGTAGCGAGTAGTGAGTACTGAGTACTGAGTAGTGAGTACTGAGTAGTACGTAGTGCGTAGTGAATAGTGAGTCGTGAGTAGTGATGAATAGAGAGTAGTGGGTAGTGGCAGTTGGTAGTGAGTAGTGAGTAGCGAGTGGGGAGTAGCGAGTAGCGAGTAGCGAGTAGCGAGGAGCGAGTAGGGCGTAATGAGTAGTGAGTAGTAAGTAGAGAGTAGTCAGTAGTGAGTAGTGGGTAGTGATTAGTGAGTAACGACTAGGGAGTAGCGAGTGGTGAGTAGTGAGTAGTGAGTAGAGAGTAGGGAGTAGGGAATAGTGAGCAGTGAGTAGTAAGAAGTGGGTAGCGAATAGTGGGTAGTGAGTAGCGATTGGTGAGTATTGGGTAGTTGGTAGTGAGTACTGACTAGTGACTAGTGACTAGTGAGTTGTGACTAGTGACCAGAGAATATGTTGTGACTAGTGAGTAGGGAGTAGTAAGTAGTGAGTAGTGAACAGTGCGTGGCGGGGAGTGAATAGTGAATATTGGATAGCGAGTATGGGGGTAGCGAGTAGTGAGTACTGAGTTCTTTGTAGTCAGTATTAGGTAGGGAGTAGCGAGTAGCGAGTAGCGAGTAGTGGGTAGGGAGTAGTGATTTGCGGGCAATGAGTAGTGATCAGTGAGTAGTGGATAGTGGATAGTGGGTAGCAGGTAATGAGCAGTGATTAGTGAGTAGTGAGTAGGGAGTAGTGAGTAGTGTTCAGTGAGTAGTGAGTAGCGAGTAGTGAGTAGTGAGTAGTGAGGAGTGAGTAGTGAGTAGTGGATAGTGGGTAGTGGGTAATGAGGAATGAGTAGTGAGTAGTGAGTAGGGAGGAGGGAGTAGCGAGTAGGGAGTAGTGAGTAGTGAGTAGCGAGTAGTGGGTGGCGTGTAGTGGATAGTGAGTAGTGAGTCGTGAGTAGTGAGAAGGGGGTAGTGGGAAGTGAGTAGCGAATAACGAGTAGTCAGTAGTGGGTAGTGAGTAATGAGTAGTGAATACTCTCTGGGGCTGGGGTTAGTGGTTGTGGTTAGGATTAGGGTTTTGGTTTAGGGTGGGGACTAGGGGCAGGGGCGGCGGGGGTCGGGTTCCGGAGTCAGGGGGCGGCGTGGCGAAAGGGAGGGGGGGGGGGGGTGCTTCCAAAAGGGGCGGGGGGGGGGGCCCGGCGAGGGATCGGGGAAAGGGGGGGGGGGGAAAGGGGCACCCGACGACGGATCGGGAAAGGGGGGCGGGGGGGGGGGGCCGACGACGGATCGGGGAACGGGGGGGGGGGTCGGCGGGGGGGTCGCGCAAAACCTCGAGTAGCAGCGGCGCAGGCCCTCCGATGCCTGGGCGAATAGGGCCGCGCTGGACGGCGCGGGCCTCGCGCGCAAGCGGAGCGGGGGCCCGGCAGGGGTGGGCTAAGGGGCCGCGAAGGGCGGGGTCGCCGCCGACGCCTGGGACGCGGCCGACAAGTTCTGCAAGGAATGGCCCAATCAGGTCTGGAACGCAGATGAGCTTTTGGCTCCGCAAGGATGGGGCGACGCGAAGCGCCGCGAGCTGAGCGAGCCCTCAGTCGCGGCCGCCAGGAAAGCCAGCAGGAGCTTCGAGCGCCGCGCCGCCCTCGGCCCCGACGTGTTCCACCCGTGACGGTGCGCGATGCTTTCTGACGAAGCGCTGGAGTTCTTGGCGAGGCTCGCGGTCTACGTGGAGCGGGTTGCCGCCAGCCGCAGCTGCTGTTGACCATCATCTTCTTCGCCGAGACGGAGGGGGGCGTTCGGACCATCGCGCTCCAGGGCGGCTTCTTGCGCGTCTGGGCCAGGGCGCGGAGGGCGCAGATGCGGGGGCTTGAGGGCGAGCGCGACCTGCCGTGCTTCTGCAACGCCTGCGGCCGGACGGCGGAGCGAGCCGTCTGGGGCCCGGCCGCGCATCGGGCGCGGGGCGGCAAGGTCGGCGTGCTCATTCCCAATCGGCTCGGCATGGCGAAGGCATGCGAGCGCGTTTGCCACCGGACTTCTGGGACGAGTGCTGCGAGTGCGACGCCAACCTCGTGCTGCTGCGCGTCAGCATCAATGGATTCGCGGGCGAGTGGGGATGCGAGATCGACGAGTCCATCTCGGACCAGGCCAACATCGCACGCAGCATCTCGGCGGGCCGCGGGCTTGCCGCCTTCTGGCTGAAGGTGCTGTTGTTCAGGGGTCTGGAGGTTTTTGGGCGCAAGTACCATTGCGTCCAGTTCCGCGCCTTCGTCGACGAAATCACCATCGTCTGCGTCGGCGCGCGGCGGTGGTTGCTCAGGAGATCGGCCGCGGGGCCCCTTGACTCGGCGGTGCTCCTGAGCGCGATCGGCTGCGAGATCAACGGCGCGAAGTCCACCGTCGCGGCGAAGTCCACGCGCGCGGGCAAGGGGATGGCCGACGAGGTCTGCGAGCGGGCGGGCCAGAGGTTGCAGGCCGGCAAGCGCCGCCGCGTCTTGGGCGTCGGCTTCGCCGTCGGGGCGCGGCGCAGGTCGGGGGCGACGCGGGGCGACGCGACCGAGCGGGAAGGGCAGGCTCGACAGGATGAAGCGCATCAGGAGGCGCGGCGCCAAGTCGGGGGAGGCGGGCAGGATGGGCCCCCAGCCTGCCGTGGCGCGCGGGGCGAGCGTGCCGGGCCGAAGCGATTCGCAGCTGCGTTGGCTACGAGTCGCCGTTGGGGCCGCCAGCCACGTTCACGGACGCGGCGCGGCGCCCCCTCGCGCCGGGGGGCGGCGAGCAGGGCGGCGCCCACGCCGCGAGAGCGGCGCCGCTGATCGAGCGCGCCGAGGCGACCAGGAGGGCCCCCATCAACATCGTACAGGGCGCCCTCGACCACGCCGTCGCCGCCCACACGGGGTCGGCCCAGCGGGAGCTGCCCCGGCGACGCTGCGCAGGATGGGTTGGCAGGCTCTCTTGGCAAGCTGATGGGCCACCCGCGACGGCGAGGAGCTGGACCTGGCCGAGATCATCTGCCCTCGCTCGCTGCGCTGCCTCGTTGAACGCGCTGTAGGACGCTGGCAGTGCCGGCCAGTCGCCAAGCGCGAGGACCTGGAGCACCTGCCGGACGGCATCCACATCGAGCCTGTGCGAGCTGTGCTTCGTAGCCTCGAGAATCGCGGCCTCGCGAAGGAGGCGGGCGGGCCGCGCTCCACCGGGGCGCGCAGCCAACGGCTTCAGCAGCAGCTGTTCGAAGCTGGCCTGGCAGAGTCACCCTTGTGCCGGGGGTGTTGCGCGCTGCCCGGGGCGCTGGCCCACCGCCGCGGGGCGCGCGCGGCGTGGCCAGGCGACGGGGGGGAAGCAAGATCGGCTGCGTCTGCTTCCCCGCGGGCCAGCTGTCGGCGACGCAGGGGGCGCAGGTCGCGCGGGGCAAAGAGATCCCAGGCGGAGTCTTTGCGGGCGACGGGTATGTGGGCGGCTCTGGCAGGTGCCTGGCCGAGGTCGACGACGTTCGCGCGGGCTTCGGGTGCGACGCCGTCGACCGTGTCAGGCACTTTGCGGGCGCCTGTCCCAGGTGGCTGAAGGAGGTCGGCGAGAGCGAGCTTCGCGGTCGAGGCCATGCTGCAACGCGCGCTGGCGCCTTGCGCGTTCTACAGCGACTGCCAGAACCTGCTCGACGGCATTGCCGCGGGGCCCGTCGGGTGCTGCGCAGCCACCGACACCTGCGCCAGGGAGGATCTGGAAGTTTGTCTACGACATCTGCGGCATCGGCTTGGATAACACAGTTCCGCAAGGTCAAGGCCCGCCGGTCGACCTCCTGGCTGGGTTACGGCGCGACGGAGAGGGGGGTCGCTCGGCAGCAAGGCGGCCGACATCGGGGCCAAGAAGGGGGCCGCCTTCCACCCTGGCAGCGCCCCCCCGAGGGCCGCAAGGCACGTCGCTCAGTCGGAGACCGTCAAGAAGATGGGCGGCCAAGGCGCGCGCGCTGGTGAACGGCGAGCCGCGCGACGCCGCGGGCGGGCATCTGCGGCGGCGCGCCAGCGGGCGCGGGGAATTCGAGGGCGCGGCGCGCGTCTATCGGCCGCGCGAGGCCCATTATGCGCCTCCAGACCCGCATGCCAGGGTCGATGCCCACGAGGGCGGCTCGGCGCCGCCCGGCACGTTGCGCAGCCCCCCATGCACTGTGCCAGCACGTGCCGACAAGCACACGGATATTCGGCACGGGGCCAGGCGCTGGGCGGCGACGTGGACCAGCGGCCTGCGCGGAGAGGCCTTCCTGCAGCGAGGCGAGTTTATGGACTGGTGCGAGCCTATCTGCTTGCCGCGCTGCAGCCGCCGCCGTTCCGCGCGCTGAGGGAGTGGCACCAGCGCCGCGCCCTCTTCGGGGGCGAGCCCCTCAGCCGGGTCATCCACGACGTCTGCGACGCAGCTTGGGGGAAGAGCGCCGTCGGGAGGAGGCGCTTCTCCGAGTGCCTGAGCGTGGCTGGCGAGGACACGTGGCTGGCCGTGGCCGAGTGGCACTCCGAGCTCAGGGCGCTGCGAGGTGCGACGGCAGCTGGGCGATGGAGCGCCGCCGCTGATCGCCCGAGGCCCTGGGCCCCACCGCGGCCGCGCCGCGCGCCGCGGCAGCGGCAGCGAGCGGCCGCAAGGGGCGCCTGGGCGGGCGGCAACTGCAGCGACGGCCGCCGCGGCGGGGGGCGCCTGCGTGCGGGGGCGCGCGAGCGGCGAGGAGAGCGACGACGACGGCCGCGACCCAGGCGACGCCGATGGCGCCGCGCGAGGTGTGCTGCAGGCGCGCGGGGCCAGGGCCCCCCCTGCAGTGGGCGGCGGGGCAGGTCCGCGGCTGCCCGAGGCCCAGGGGGCGGCAGGGCGGCCTCGGCAGGCAGCGCCAGCGGGCCAGCCACGGCACGTGCGCGAGGGGGGCGGCGAGCGGGGCAACCGAGGTGGCGCGGGGGCTTCCCGCCCGCGCGCTGACGCGGGCAGCGGCGCGGACAGCGACGCCGCGCCATTAGCCCAGGTTTTTCGGCTCGAGACGTCGTTGCGCCGCCGCCAGCACTGGGCAGCAAGAGGAAGCGAGGTGCGGACAAGCGCCCGAGGGGGGCCGAGGCGACGCCGGCAGCTGCGCGGGCGGCATGCAGCCAGTTCGGCGACGGGGCCATCGACGCGCTGGGCGGCGCGGGCAGGCGAGCGGCTGCCGGGCCCCAGCGTGAGGCGGGACCCCAGCTCTTCATGCCCGACGACGTGAAGCCAGTGGCGGCCCCGCTGCGCCAGCGTGCCCATCGGCTTGGCAGCTTAGTCACGCTGTGCTACGGGTGCGACAGGTGCGGCGCGAGAGCCAATCACAAGGGGGACCGTGCGAGCGGCCTGTGCAGGGGCGGGCCCGCGGCGGTGGAGGCGGCACACGTCGGCCACGCGCTGGTGGTCGCCGGCGCGGTGGTCTTCTGCAGCGCGTGCGGCGCGCGTCCGGCAGGTGGGCCTACCACGGTGCGCGCGGAGCGCTGCGTCGCGCAGCTCGCCGACAAGAACGCCAAGGCTCGGCTCAACCACATGCGCGAGGGCCGCCACGGGCTCTCGTGCGAGTTCGTAGGCCACCCCGCCCAGCTGGCGCTGAAGCCCATGGAGGTGGTCAAGGCGGGGCGGCGGCGGCGTGAGCCAAGTGCCGCGAAGGGTGGCCCAGCCAGCGCGTTTCAGCCCGCGGCGCGGGCTCCGCCAGCGCCCGCGGCGGGGGGGCCGCGCAGGCGCCGCTTCGGGGCGCCCGGAGACGAACTGGCCTCCTCGCAGCCTGCTCCTGACCCCTTTTCCTCCTGCTCCTCTTGCTCCTCCTGCTCCTCCTGCTCCTCCTCCTCCTCCTGCTCCTCCTCCTCCTCCTCCTCCTCCTCCTCCTCCTCCTCCTCCTTGCTCCTCCTCCATTGGCCCCCTCCCTCCAGCTTGCTCCTCCTCCTCGGCCTCCTGAGTTTCCTCGCCCACTGCTCCTCTCCTCCTCAGCCACCTTCTCCTCCTCTTTCTTTTCCCCCCCCTCATCCTCCTCCTCATCCTCCCCTTTCTCCGCCTCCTCCTCCTCCTCCTCTTTCTCCCCCTCCTGCACCCCGCAGGACTTCGCGTCAAACAGCAAGGGCAGCGTGCTGTTGAGGGAAGGCTGGGAGGGCGAGGTCAGTGGACTGAACCTGTTCCTCCTTCCGCGGGGCCCAAGCATGTCGCATGGTTCGCCCGGAAGGTCGTCGCGGGACGTTGCCTCTCGCGTGTCGAAGTCGCAAATCCAACGCCGCGGTCTCAGAAGTCCCTCTCGCCGGCGTCCCTTGGGGAAACGCATCAGGATGGTGCATCGGCTTTCCTGGCCACGCCCAGGAATTCGTGTGCCACCCGACAGTTCCCACAGTGACCCAAACCAAACGCGTTTGAGGTGTACGGGTTGTTTCTGACCACCTTCTCTCCACGGGTGTAATCGTGGAGTCAACGTCCGACGCCGCCGTCTGCTCCTCCCGTATCCCGCTTATCTTGGGGAGCACGAGGAAGAGGAGGAGGAGGAGGATCATGAGGAGGAGGAAAAGGAGGAGGACAATGGGGGAGGAGGGCGAGGAAAAATGAATGCGAGGACGAGAGCGAGAACGAAGACTAGGACGAGGACACGGACACGGACGAGGACAAGGAGGAGGAGGAGGAGGAGGAGGAAACGACGGAGCAAGAGGAGGAAAAGGAAAAAGAGGACGAGCAGGACGAGGAAGACGAACGGGAGAAAGAGGAGGAGGAGGAGGAGGAGGAGGAGGAAGAGGCGGAAGAGGAGGAGAAACAGGAGGAGGAGGAAGAGGAGGAGGAGGAATAGCAGGACGAAGATGAGGAGGAGGAGGAGGAGGAGGAGGACGAGGAGGAGGAGGCGGAAGAGGAGGAGGAGGACGAAGAGGAGGAGGAGGAGGAGGAGGAGGAGGAGGAGGAGGAGGAGGAGGAGGAGGAGGAAGGAGGAGGAGGAGGAGGAAAAAGAGGAGGAGGAGGAGGAGGAGGAGGAGGAAAAAGAGGAGGAGGAGGAGGAGGAGGAGGAGGAGGAGGAAGAGGAGGGTATTGGGGGCCTTGGGCCGTCATGGACGGTATTGGGGGCCTTGGGCCGTCATGGAACGTTGGGAGCTCGAAAAGTAAGCCAGGGAGAGCCGCCGTTGCCTCGATTGGCCCTCCTCCGACAGCTGGGTCAGGTCTCTGCGCCCCCCTCGGTCTCCCCAGCAGAGGTCGTCAGGCTCGACGGGGACGGGGACGCGCTGATCAGGTTCGAGAAGCAGCACTGCGCCGAGTGGGTCGTCCGGGGCAACTTCTCGAAGCTTCGGGTCTACGATCCAGCGGAGGTCGGCAGTGGGCAGAAGCCGGCCACGCGTGAGAGTGACCGTTCTCGGTGCAGGCTGCCCGGAGGCGCCCCTGTATTGGCCTGCGCGCTCGGGTTTGGCCCTCCGCGGCTCCCCGAAGCCGCGCGCCAAGGGTCACTCCTATGGCCTCTGTCGTCCCTGTAGAAGTTGTCGGGGCGAAAGTGGGAGGCTCAAGAATCGAGTGGAGGAAACAGCGTAAGCATGAGCATTCGGAGGTCCGCGCGGATTTCGTGGATCTGCTGGATCCCCTTGCCGGCGCCTCCGCCCCGAGCGCGATCCGCGCGCCAGGGAAGGGGGGACCAGCGCAGGTCCAAGGAATCCGCACGGACCTCCGAAAGCGTCTGCTTGTGCCGCTGTGTCTTCTTCCAGCGACCGCAGGCGGCCCTCCCGCCTTCCCAGAGGCTGCCTTGCAAGTTTCGGGGCCCTCCCCAGGAACCCCTGAGGCCTTCCGAGGGAGGCCGCAGCCCACGGCCCCCCCTTCCCCCCCCCTCTCCCGAGGAGGAGACGGAGGTGACGGACGACTCTGGGGACGAGGCGGCGACCAGCAGGCTGCCTTGGACGGAGCCCACGGAGGCCACGGAGCTGGAGTCGGAGGCCCCGTGTGGCTGCGGGCTGTTCTGAGCCGGATCAGCCCCATCCGCCGGGGGTTACCCCCGACCTCGGGCTCTGCTGCGAGGGGTGGCCACTGGCCCAAGGTGACCCCAGGCTATCCAGGGAGGCCCCCAATGGCCTCCAGGGCACCCACCATGAGGAGTCCCTGGATGGAGCGGCAAGCTGGAGCCACCTCGGTCCAAGGCCTCGTTGTCAACATTCGACCGTCTCCTGCCGCGCACCATCGCCACCCATTGAAATTTGTGGTGTGGCGGTTTCTTGGTGCACTTTCGGCGCCTGCCCCTTTCGCGAGACCAGTCGGCGGCAGGGCTTTGAGATTGGTGGCGCCCACCATCCAGTCCCACCATCCCTCCCTCGTCCTCCTCCCTACTCCTACCTCTCCCCTCCCCTCAGCCACCCCTCCTTCCCCCTCGTCCCCAGCCCCTCTCCCCTCTCACCGCCTCCCCCTCCCGTCCTCGTTCCTCCCTCTCCCCTCCACTCCACCGCGCCTTTTCAACCCTCGTTGGCGACGGGGGGAAGGAATGTGGATGAGGGAGCTTTGCGAGTCTCCCACAGGGGTTGAAGGGGCCCGCTGGTCCTGCCCCTCGAGGGTGTCGCGCGGATGGAGCTAAGAATCCAGCTGTGGCCAGGGTGGTCACGGCGAGCGTAGTTCGTTCAACCAGTTAATCGCGCCGGCCAGATAGGGCCAGTTTGCACGTGGGGGGTGGAATTCGCGCTCAGCCAGCCAGCGGAGGTGCCAGTTTTTTGCTTGCGCAGAGTTCCCTCTTCGCATCCTACCACCCCGTCCTGCTCCTCTCCTGCGCCTGCGGTCTCTTGCACCTCACGACTTGAGCAGGCGAGTCGTGAGTCTTCCAGAGGTATGTGGAGGCTTCGCTGCATGACCAGTATCTGTAGTCTGTTATGCCAGCGGGGCACAACATCATAAGGCTCATCGGCGGATGCATCATCGTTGTTATACCATCATTGCCATCACCATCATCATCACCACCATCATCATCATCCTCATCATCTTCATCTTCACTTTAATAGTCAGCATCACCATCACAGTCGTCGTCGTTCCTCTTCGCTCAGTTTCTAGGCAGGGCTGAAAGCCACGTTGGCCACAACACGTCGCCACAATATAATGCGTTGGGAAACGACGGCAATCTGATTCACCTGGCTTTCTGAGATTGCCGTCGTCACTCTCGCACTCGGCTTGCTCGCTCGCGCGACGCCAACTCTGCTTTCTCCAGACCTCCGACGGCTTGACCCGCTCGAGCCGCTGGCCCCCAGAGCTCTCGGCCTATCCCAGGGGTCAGGTCTTCGTCCGGATCATGTTTTGGCGGTGTTGGTCGCTGGCCCCGCCTGGGGACCAGCTTCTCATTCGGAGCGTTCTTCGACGGTCCTGCATTGGGAGCCCACGCCAGATTCCGGACAGTGAAGATGGTCCGGATCTTTGGAGGTTCTCAGAGGTCTCCAGAGGTCTCCTCAGGTTTCCATGTTCCATGAAAGCCCCCAGAGCCCTTTGGACGCGCAGGAAGGGACAAGCACGTATAGAAAACATTCATATTCCATCCTCCGATGCTCGAGTCTCAAGCCCTGGATCTGGGGGCCCCCTGTCCATCCCATATCCGACGCCTTGGTTTCCTCACAACGTGGCCCCCAGGTGTCTTGACCGCCCCCCCCCAGGGACCGACCTTTTATCCTGAGTCTTCTTTGGACGGCCCTGGTCGGGGCCCGGCAGAGGACCCCGGACCAGAGGCTGACAACGGCCTATTTCATTTTGACCGCCGTGTTTTTCACGACTCGAGGCGGTCTGATTCTGCGGTCCCCGGTTGGGCCCCTGGCAGCCGTTCGGGGCGAAGCAGGTACCCTTGGAGCGCTCTCGGCGTCGTGCAGCCGTTGGCAAGCACCCCGAGACCGGAAGACCTCCAGGAGGTTCGGAGAGCGCCAGGAACCTCTGGCTTCGAGATTCGCGCCTCGCCTCGCCCGGTTCCCCGGGGCTTCCGCCTGCAGGACCTGACGCCCGACGAGATGATGGAGAAGTTGCTCACCGGCAAGGCGCCCAAGAGGCGCCGGTCGGGGGCGGCTGTGTAAACCGCAGGAGCCCAGGGGGGGGGGGGAACCGGGGGGAGGGATGAGTGGAGAGGAGGGGGGAGGGGGGAGGGGGGGGAGGCCAAGCTGGGTGCGCTCGCGTCATATCTGACGTCCTACCCCTCCTTCCCATCCCTTACCGTGGCGTAGATCTCCTCTATTCGCACAGTCGGATGTCGAGCTGGGCAATGATATCGAGAGGGTACGCGATGCATGGTAGAGCACCGCATGGCGCGACGTAGAAGAGCACGGAAGAGCGTAGCATGCCATAGCATGGCGTGGCATTGCGCAGTGAAGCATTGCATCAGAAAGCATTGCAGCGCAAAGCATGGCATCGCACAGCGGCGCAGAACACAACGCCGCACAGCATGTCATGGCATGGCGCCAGATTCCTTTGAGGGTCAGTGGATCGTCTTCGAGAGGTCTGTGTCGGTCTGAAGTCGTGGCTTCATGTCTAGAGTCTAGAGTCTAGCTCCTTCAAGGCGGGGCTGATGGAGAGCACCCGCTGGCTCTAGATTTTGGGCCTGTTTGGAAGGACCGAAAACTCCCACGCTGCAGGAGGAGCGCGATTTGGAACCACCAGAGGCGCAGAAATGGTGCCAGCGCTTCAGCGGGAGCAACATGTTGAACCAACAACTAAGCGAAAACACATGTCCCTGGAATCATGTGTGCAAAGAAACAGTACGCGGAGTGGGGCTGGATATTTTCCGGACGTCATCAGGGGAGAGAGGAGAGTAGTATCATACTCTGCATGTGTTGAGGATGATGGAGGAGGAGGAGGAGGAGGAGCGAGGCGATTCGGACAAAAAGGGGGAGCTGGGGATAGGGGGGGCGGAAGAACGAGATCTGCTGCATGTATGTGGTTTCGGCCCTGGCCGAGCGCCTTCCTCGATACATTGGCGCCTCCGGCTCAAGGAGGCGCCCAGAAAATCAGTTCATTATCCCTTGACTAGTTCCTTCCTTTTCCTTCCTTTTCGTCCGACCTGGGGCAGGAGGAAGTGGGGGATAAGAAGCGAGGAGTGGGAAGGCACGAGGCATGAGGCGGGAGGGAGGAGGGAAGAGGGAGGAAGGAGGAGGAAGGAGGGAGAAGGAAGGAGGGATGAGAGAGGAGGGAGGGGGGAGGAGGAGGGAGGAGGAGGCGGAGGAGGAGGAACAGTGCAATACTAAGGGACGTCAACGATGCTGCATGAAGCCCTCCCTCCAAGTCCCCTCTTCATATCTCCCATGCAAGAATTTATTGGCATTCTCGGAAGTGACCCGTTAGAAGACAACCGTCGGCTAATCCTCGATTGTGCCAAAGCGCCACTCTTTGGACTTCAACGCTGCGAATCATCTTCACTGTTGCGTCCTGACGATCCTTCATCGTTCATCGTGTCAGAACTCCAGTCCTGGGACTCCAGCACAGCGAATCAACGTTAAATCTTAAATTTCGCCAGGCCAGTGTTCCTGGGACTTCGACCATGCGAGCCCTTGAAACTGTTACAAACTTGCCAAATGAATGCATTCGGCGTGAGGGCGAGAGCCACATTTTCAACACAAGCCGCCCTTCTTCCTTGAAACGGTTGCAAGCTTCTAAGACGAATGTGCGCGGCGCCAAGGCGAGAGTACCATTTTGAAGCCCGCCGGCCCTCCATTCGTGAAGCCTCTGCGGAACTTTGAGACGAATGCGCGCGGCACTAAGACGAGAGCTTCGTTTTGAAATTCACCAGGCCTCCACAGGTGAAGCTCGTGAAGGTTGTTCAAGACGAGTGTGCGCGGCGTTCATGCGAGAACCACATTTGGAAAACCAGCCGCCCTTCATCCGTGAAGCTCTTGCAGAACTTTTATGACGAACGTGCGCGGCGCCAAGGCAAGAGTCACATCTTGAAAACGACCCGCCGTTCGTCATGGAAGCTGTTGCGGAACTTTTGAGTCGAGTTTGCGCGGCCCCAAGGCTGGAGCCACATTTTGCAAATGATCCGGCCTCCGTCCGTGAAGTTCTTGCAACACTTTTCAGACGAATGTGCGTTGCGCTCAGATGGAAGCCACAATTTGATGATTATCCGTTTGTTATCCGTGAAGATCTTGCAGCACTTTTAAATCGAATGTTCGCTGCGCTAAGGCGAGAACCGCATTTTGAAAACGGCCCGCCCTTCATCATAGAATCAGTTGCAGAGTTTTTGATGACTGCGCGCGGCGCCAAGACCAGAGCCACATGTTGAAACCCGCCCGCCCTCCAAGCTGAAACTTCTGCAGAAATGTTAACACGAATGTGCGTGGTGCCAAGGCGAGAGCCGCATTCTGAAAACGGCCCGCCCTCTACCTGTGAAATTTCTGCAACTGTTGAAGACGAGTAAGCGCGGCGCCAAGGCGAGAGCCTCATTGTGTAAACTACTGGGCCTCTATGTGTGAGTATCTTGTGAACTGTTACGACGAACGTTCGCGGTGCTAAGGCGAGATCCACACTTTGAAAACCTCCCGCCATCAATTTGTGCAGCTGTTGCACATTGAGGCTTCAGACTCATAAATGGTGAGGAAGTTGTTTCAGGCGAAACGCTTGTCCAGCCCTACTAACACGTCTCGGGTTGTGACAGGGATGAGATAAGTATATGGAACAGGAGCAGAGGAGAGACGGGGAGGAGTAAGAGGAGAGGAGGGATAAGGAGGTAGGCGGGAGGGGTGGGTGGGAGTGAGGAGGAGAAGGTACGAGGGAGAAGGGAGAAAGAAGGAGGTACAAGGGAGGAAGGATCAACATGCTTTTTCGCCGAAAGGGGCTGTGGAAGATAAGCAATGCATCAATGCAACCCCGCTCTGCTCCTGCTATGCTGCACTACTACATCCATCTACCCACCTACAATGCAACACCGCTCTGCTCCTGCTATGCTGCACTACTACATCCATCTACCTGTCCACAGCTAGTCCGACGGAGGGGGATTTCTTCACCCCTCCTCACTGCGAGAGAACCCTCTGGGTTGGCTCACAGTGCAAGCAGCCGAGAGAAGTCTGTACCTCCAACGACTACCGGTAGCGGAGCCGTGGCGATCCAGCGTGACCACCACTGCGCAGAAAAGAGTAGCTAGCGCGGGGCTGCCCGCAGCCAGCCTGAGGGGGTGCGCGGGGCTACCCGCAGCTCCCCTCAGACTGCTCTCCTGCCCGGGGGGCGCCGGGAGCAGAGCAACGTGCTTCCCGAGGGAGCGGGGCTACCCGCATCTCTGCTGCTTCCTTAGAGAGCGGGGCTACCCGCGTCCCTGCTGCTTCCCGAGAGCGGGGCTACCCGCGTCCCTGCTGCTTCGGCGTCGAGCCGCTCCTCTATTTCAGAAGCAACCCTTTGGCCGCTCTGCCGCTCCTGTAGTCCTGGTTGATACCCTTCATGCGGACGTCGATCTCCTTACGACCGAATGGCTTCGTCAGAAGATCGCTCCTGTTATCGGCCGTGCCGATCTTGCCCAACTCCAGGTGCTGCATGACGATCCTCTCCTGCACCCACAGGTAGCGGGTCTGAACGTGCTTCAGCTTCCCAACGCCTCGGCGCGACGCGAAACCGCGCGCCGCGGAAGAGTCCGACACCACCTTGACTTTCGAGGGGACCTGCCAGTCCTCCAATAAGCCTTGGATGCCTAATCCGGTGCACGCGCCGGCGCTGATCGCGTAGTACTCGTTCTCTCCAGAGGAAAGTCCTATCACCTGCAACAGGTTGCAAGCATGCTTCACCACCTGTCCGCCGACGAAAACGACCTGCCCCACAGTAGACCGTCGGCTGGTCTTGTCGCCAGCGTTGTCGCTGTCCACCATGACCAAGATGGGCAAAGGACTGCCCCTGGCGAGGTGCTGGTCCCTGCGGAGCACCTGTACTACCCGAGGCCTTCCTTTCAGGTATCTCGCCAACCTCTTAAGCCGCGCCATGTCGACTTGCTTCGGGCTCTGCATGTGCTTAACAAGATTCTTCACTGCATCGCCAATGTCAGCCCGATCTGGTGCCAAGTATGACGCACGCATGGTCACACTTCGGTACAGGCGGACGTCGTCACCGACGAGCGGGGGCGAGGCTAACCGCTCCTCCGCTTCGGCCTCCTCCTTCTTCAATCCAGGAACATCTAGTGTGTCTTAGCGGATTCCTGTTCGAGGCCCATGTCACGAACTATCATCTCTGCGTGCCGTGGATATGCTTCGACCTCGAAGCGCTCCCCCTCTGGGCTTCCTGTGACACGTAGAATCCTGTTCAAGAAAACGACCTCCTGCTCCTCTCCAGAACCGAGCGTGAAACGACCTGTCACCTTCAAGTCGTATTTCTTCCGCAGAGTTTCTGCGTCGTCGCCCATGGCGCAGAAGTCATCACCGTGCACTAAAGACCGACAGTCGTCGACCTTCTTGTAGAACAGGGCCGGGTTCGCCTTCCCTGACTCGTGCCCGTCCTGCTTGAGCACTGCTGTGTAGTCTCGCTGCCAGATGGCAGACGCGTCCTGGGTGCCGTACATGCTCTTCTTCAACAGTGCACAGTGAACGCCGTCCTGCTCCTCCTCTGGGAGCTCCGCGCACACCGTCCTCTCGGCCTGGTCGTAAAAATGGGCACGTGATATGTCGAATAATCTCATCCCTAGAGGCTTACCCCGGTCGCTGCTCCTGTTCTGCACCATCAAGCCTCCTAGCATCTTCACTGCCTCCAGAGGCGGCATTGCTGAAAACAGCAACGCTGCAGGCAACTTGCGCCCTTCGTCTCCTTGGCCTCGCTTCTCGCGCACGACGATACGAGACCGGTAGTTCGGTCGCTCGTTGTCGCCCTTGTTGGTGTCGAGCCACATCAAACGGATAGGCTTCGCACCTGTCACCTCCAGGCACTCCTTAAGAGTCCTTCTCTCGTACACCTCCTGTCGGCGAAGCCATCCTACCTCCTCCTCCCTAGCCTTCCTCACCATGGCGGGGTCGACGTCGTCCCAGTACCTCTCGCTGTCCTCCAACAGCGATCTGCCCTGCTCGTAGGTGTCGGGCTCTGTAGGCACTGGGCCAGCCGTAGCCTCCGCCAGGCCAGAGAGGGATCCATCTTTCTTCATGGCCTCCTTTACTGCTCGTAGGACGCACCGCGCCAGCATCGGAGGATGCGCTTGTGCCTTGCGAGCTACACCACCAGTCAGCAACACATTTTGATGCTGCTCTGGCCCCAAGTCGCCGGGGCACCCCTTCTTGAGCTCCAGCGCAAGCTCGGGCATGTCGGTCATGAATCCGGTTCGCCTCTAGATAAACCCTTGCATGCCGGAAGGGGGCTTACCTTGGCCACCAGGTTTCGCGCCCCACTTGCACATAGCTCTTCTGACCCTCTCCACAACGTCCTGCTCCAGCAGCTCCAAGATGCCTGGTGTCTCCCAGCTGCTGTCGTCGTGGGGGTGCTCGTGCAAGAAGTACCGACCCCGCACCATCTGCCTCCGGTAGCTCTCGCAAGCCACTTCAAGATGACGCTGGGCAACGTTCTGTTCCTGGAGCACCTGCTCTGTGTCCCGCTTGGGCCGGGATGTGCCCTGTAAGTCTGCGAATGCCGTAGAGAGAGGCGAACCAATGAGGATGTACGGATCCTCGCGCTCAAGCGTATCGAACCATTCCTTCACGTCGCCCTTCTTCGTAAAGTCCCAGTGCCCACCGTTCGGTTTCTCGGCCTCCATGTCTGCGCTCACCCCAGGCCGGAGACCCAGACGGCACGCGAGCGCAACATTCCGCGGAGGCGGGCACAACTCGTGAACATCTACGGCTCCCAGCTCCAAGCTCAGATGGGCAATATTCTCCAGCTCCTCCACCGAGAGGTCCACCTCGTTCCGGCGACAAGCGAGAACAATGCTCCTACGATACTCGTTCCTCAATTCCTCCTTCCTCTTCGTCGTCATGCTGCTCATGTCTACGTCTCCTCCCGTCGCCGCAGGCGCGGAGCCTCCCGCAGCCGCGGCGCCTGGTACCTCCGCAGACGCAGCACTGGCCCCTGCGGCCGGAGCCGGGCCCCCAGACCCTGACGACGCAGCCGGAGCGGTGCTACCCGCTTCCGGCACACCTGGCGGCAACGACACGTCCATGTCGTCGTCTGCCGTCCTCGGGCTAGCTCGTTCAGCCGACCTGCTCCTCGACCTCTCCTCGAGCCCCAGGCCCGGTGCGACGGCAGCCGGCCTTCCGCGAGGCCGCTCCTCACCGGGCGGTGGCGGCGCCTGTGCTGCCGCCGGCGGCATGGCTGGTGCGCCTGCCGCTGAAGCCGCGGAGCCTCCCGCAGGCTCCTGTTCCTCTACTCGGGCTCGTTTCGCCCGGCGCGCGTCCAGCCTACGCCGACCCACGTCGTCCTCCTCCATCATGCTGGCCATGCGCTGCGAGCACTCTGCCGTGCGCGCGCCCTGCCGTTAGGCCACACATGATGTTATGACACGCTGGACACAACGGTGTCCCTCCGAATCGCTCCACGTCCGCCTGCAACACGTAGAGCTTCCTGGGTCCTGGCACTCCTCCCCCTCCTCCTACTCCTCCTCCTCGTCCTCCTGCTACAGGTTGAGAGGGTAGTGGCGGATTTGCCGACCCGGCAGCCTCCCGGCCTGCCAGCAAGGGCCTCCCTGGAGCGGGGCTAACCGCATCCGGGGGCTCCATTTCACAGGGCGTCCCACGCACCTGGTCTAGCCCAGCGGGCTTCCAGCGCTCCTCCGCGGTATTCTTGTTGTAGGTCTTGCCTCGCAAAACCCCCCTGGTGGTCATTACCATCAGACTGCCAGTCCGCGTCTGGTGGCCGACGTACCAGCCCTCTATCATTTTAGGAGTCATGCCGCTCCGCGGCTCCTCCTGCGCGAGCCTCACGTGAATCCGTTCGCCGAATTCCAACGCCGACTTCGCCCAGCGCCTGCCTGTGCGCCTCTGTTCGGCGGACCTACCGTCCTCGCCGATACGGTATCTACTGAGACACGCAGCAGCATGTCGTGGCAGCCCCGTCCAAATCGGATGGTGCAGCGGTAGCCGCGTACCAATCCTCTCCTCGAGCGTCTTCTTCTGCACACGCACAATGCGTTTCACCTCCTTGACCGCGTTCTCAGACTCACCGATCGCTGCGTGGCCTCCTACAGGAGACTCCTGCATGACAGTCTCTACTGTCTGCATTTGGTCAGCCATAGCCTGCTTCAAAGCTACAAGGCTGCGCTCGCCGTCTGACCAGCTCACGTACCTCTTTCAACCGAGCTCCTTCAAGTAGCCCGCGAAGAACTTCACTGTGTACGGGTTCACTCCCTTTTGGGGCACTGCCGTCGCCGCATACCCCTTGGTACGGCGATCCCGTATCACCAGCATCGGCAATGCTGCGTCCTCACTGCCGTCGTCGGCTAAGTAGCCGTAGTCAGAGCACACCAAGACCTGAACTGAGCGTGTCCCATAGCGTAGTGCTCGTTCACCTCTTGCGCACTCGGCGCTCGAGGCTCTGTCCGGATTTTCATATCTGGCGCTTCCTCCCCAACGCCCTCAGGAGGCGATGGGGGTTCCGGAGCGGGGCTACCCGCATCCGGGGCCAGGGCGGAGCCACCCGCACCTGGCTCAACCTCCAACGGCCTTACGGGCGCCGGTCCTGCCGCCGGAAACCCGACGACAGGCCAAGCGGCGCGGTGTCTTCCGCGCGCTCTACCTTCATGTAGAAGTTTTAGACGCCCCTCTCTCGGTACACTGGCAGGAGCGAGTCGTCGCCGAAACGCCTCAC